TGTGTTTTTGTTTTGGTCGCCCAAGAAAGATATCTTGATGTATAGCATCTAAATGCTCCAGTTTTTTTATTAGCTTCTGCCGTTAGCTTTTGGCGTTAGCTTTATTGCTGACAGTGGGTCCTTCTCACTTCGGTTAAAGGCATTCCTTGCGTCCCTCACTTGCGTCGTTTCCCTGTGACTAGTCCCTCCCACCAGGGAAGCATGGAGAGACGCAAGGAAACCACGAGAAGCAGGGAAATGAGTTTTAAGAGCAATGGGACGTCCTTTCCTCCGGAGCGTCACGTGAAGCGACGTCCGTTTGTGATGACGCTGCACAGCTGATCGTCTGACAGCAGCCAGCTCTGTCCCCGTTATTTCCACACACACCCCCGCCTCTGTTAGTACACATTTACTGACTCAAATATTTGTATCATCTGTTGTAGACCCAAATAAATAAAATAAAATAAGAACTAATTCTCAAAAAAGATAAAGGCCATTCTTAAAATGTATAAACAAACAATAGTTTGATTAATATTGATTAGAGTGCACAAAATAAATAAAATAATTCAGAGAAGAAAAAGAGATATGTTATCTATCAAAACCCAGTTATTAACATTCATTGGATTGCACACTTTGTTTGTTTGGATATGTCGCAAATTAACATTTTAAATAGCACTTAATGACTGACTGAATGGAAATGACAATAAATGAAAATGTAAAACGAAAAAAGCGATCATGAAAATGTTTCCAAAGAATGAATAAAATGATTTTTGACCACTTTGTTGTTCAGATATATCACATATTTGTAACTAAATGATACATTAATTGAAACAAAACACGGTATAAACTGAGGAGTGACTCCCGTGAGGTTCATGTATTTTCTTCACTCCGCTGGGAAACTGCTCTCATGTCAAGAAGCATCAGATCAGTGCATGCACTGCATCGTCCAATCAGTGAGCGATACACAGTAAGGGGGCGGGGCGAGTGTCTGAGGATTTCATCGAAGGATGGTCTGGTGGTTCCTCGATTATAGCTCCTCCATTATCGCTCCTCGCCCCTCTGTCCTCCGGCAAAAATAAGGCCATTGCGACGCTACTCAAGATGGCGCAGACAAATCAACTTCCGGTGAGACCGAGACCGAGGAGCGAGGAAATGAAAAATAAGAGAAGTGAGAAAGGGCCACAGACAGGAAACCAAGGAAAGGTCTAAACAAGAGAAAACGCAACGCAGACAGAAAACAAAAGACAGATCTAGACAAGAAAAAACACAACACAGACAGATCGTGACAGGAAATGTTATGTAAGTAGTAACATGCGGCGTCCGAGGCTATACAGTGGGTAAAACGTTACCGGATTCCACATACTTAAACATACTTATCAATATAACAATTAAAAATGACAGATCTGGGTGATAATATGCTGACATGTCATGCTGCTTGCAGGCAGCAGGTTGGGGCCCCAATGAAAAACAATCCAAAATACAATCAAAACATTAATTGGCGTCATTCTGAAAGATTTTGCAGAGTTGTATGTCAGCTTAGTCGTGATGACTGAAACAAAGTAAAAAAGTCCTTTACTACTTAGAAAATACTTTCGAATGCTGAATTATTTGGAATCAGCTCTTTGTCACCTGATGGGTGTATTTCACCGACCACCATACATCTAGACCCCTATTTTATTCTTTTACGAAGTTTATTGTCTTTTTAAAATAAGTACACCAATACCTACGCACTTCAGACACCTGGAACAAGATAGTATCCCGGTTTGCAACATATTTAATTTGTATTTTATATCGATTATTTCACAACTCCTTGAAGGATTAAAATGCCTCTTCAAGCTTATTGTCCTTTTTTTTGTTACTTCCGTCATGAACTGGGAAATCATTGACCCACAAAAGCAATTATCACCCACTCTGCGGAAAAATCTATTTATGCGAATATGTCAGGGAATAATTATCGCCCCTACATTTTACCTTCCGCCCTCTGACGCAGCTGCATCCCAAACACTTAACTCAGTCCCGCTTAGCGGTCCCATACAGGAGCGGGCTGTTCCCTAGCAAGTGTCTGTAGCTTTCATCCCTCCTTTCCACTTGCCCAACGGGCAGTATCTCTCCTTCGTCAACCCCCCCGTGAGAGATTTATTGTTGTGGGACACCTGGAACAATAAACTTCCTCGGACCGTGTGCTATGATGAC